AGCCACCCTGGACAGGAAAGTTCATGAGACTTTTATCAACAAGCTGGAAGTGAAGCTTTGTTTCAAGTATAGACCACCAGCCTTGAGCAAAAAAGCTAAGGGACAGTATCACCTAACAAAAAAATTTCAGGGGCTGGAGGAGTAACTCCCAGTAGTACAGCACCTGATTAACAAGCCAGAAGTCTTAAGCTGAAGCCCAGCCACCCTAACACTCCTGAAAAAAACTTTCAATTAGGGCTAAGAGTGTAGTTTAGTGGTAGAGCATTTGCCTAGTTGTGTTTGTTCCCAGGAAACTGAGCCAGATGCTGGTGGCTCAAGCCTGTAATCCTATCTACTCAGGAGGCTGAGATATGAAGATCGAAGTTCAGAGCCAGCCCAGGCAGGAAATTCCATGAGACTCTTATCTTCAGCCAGTCCTGGCTATTTTGGGCCAGCTCCTTTTGATCAAGACTAGCACTCTACCACTTAAGCCACGGTGCCACTTCTGGCTTTTTCTGTGATTACAGATAAGGGTCTCATGGACTTTCCTGCCCAGGCTGCCTTCAAACCATGATCCTCAGATCTCAACTTCAGGATTATAGGTATGGGCCACAAGCGCCTCGTGGATCTTTTTTTTAAGCCTGACCACCAGGTAACTGAGATTGAGATCTTAGGATTAATGTTCAGGAAAATCCATGATACTCTTTTTTTCTCTATTTTTATTTTTTTATTGTGAAAATACCGAACCATTACAATTACATGGGCAACAAGCATTGTTGCCTTTGTTTCCCCTTCCCATCCCTTCCCATACTCCCCCCGCCCCATGATACTCATCTCCAGTTAACCACAAAAAAGCAAGAAGTGGCGCTGTGGCTCAAATGGTAGAGCCTTGAGCAAAAGCAGCTCAGGGAGAATGTCCAGGCCCTGAGTTCAAGCCCCAGGACCAGGAAAAAAAAAAAAAAACTCTCTTGCGTTAAATAGCAGTAATATAATGTCTAATGTCACATAGGGTGAATTTGGTAAAAAATGTATTCAGAGCAATGTCTAGTGGGTAGGATATCTTCATAATTTATTTTTCTTTATACCCTTACTGTATACCCATCCTATATTAGACAATAGGTATAGCTATGCACTTATACACTGTCCTGGTTCTATTATAAGAAGAAAATACATTTCTCTGAAATGACAATTTGTAAAGCATCCCAAAAGAAAAGACTGTGGCTGGGCGCTGGTGACTCACGCCTGTAATCCTAGCTACTCAGGAGGCTGAGATCTGAGAATCACGGTTCAAAGCCAGCCTGGGCAAGGAAAGTCCGTGAGACTCATCTCTAACAAACCACTAGAAAACTGGAAGTGGTGCTGTGGCTCTAGCAGTAGAGTGCTCGCCTTGAGCTGAAGAGTGTTCACGCCCAGAGTTCAAGCCCCACAACAGACAAAAAAAAAGAAAACAGACTGTGATAGGAAGATCAATATGACTAGAAGAACTAGGTTGTCTCCCAAAGTTACAGTACTTAATCCAAGTCCAGAATGATTAGGAGCCATGATCCAATAGAGTTCTTGCTTAGCTTACTTTTCACTCAAGTCTGGTGCTCTACCACTTACCATATGTATACTTCTGGCTTTTTGTTGGTTATTTGGAGACAAGAGTTTCAGGCCAATTTCAAACCATACTACTCAGTTCTCAGCCTTCTGAGTAGCTAGGATTATAGGCATGAGCCCTTCAGTGACTGAATAACCCATTATCTTTATTTATTATTATTATTACTACTACTTTGGCCAGTCCTGGGATTTGAACTCAGGACCTCGGCATTCTACCTGAGTTTCTTTTGTTCAAGGCTAGCACCTTACCATTTGAGCCACAGCGCTACTTCTGGCTTTTTTTATGTGGACCTAAGGAATCGAACCAAGGGCTTCATGCATGCTAGGCAAGCACTCTACCATTAAGCTACATTTTCAGCCCCCCATTATAAGTTAATAATGAATGGATATTTGTTTCTGATTATTACAAATAAACCTATTAAAGGCCAGGCGCCAGTGGCTCAAGCCTGTAATCCTATTCAGGAGGCTGAGATCTGAGGATCAGAGTTCAAAGCCAGCCCAGACCAGAAAGTCTGTGAGACTCTTATCTCCAGTAAACCACCAGAACAACCGGAAGTGGCACTGTGGCTCAAGTGGTAGGGCACTTGCCTTGAGCTGAAGAGCTGAGGGGCAGCACTCAGGCCCAGAGTTCAAGCCCCACGACCGACAAAAACAAAACAGACAAAAATAAACCTACTCAGAAAAAAATTTCTCCCACCTTACAAAGCCTTCCAATATTTGTCAAATTAAATGCCAATTCCAGGATACTGGACACACCCATACTCCACAGACTCCTTAGTACCTACCTCAGGTCATTCTTGAGCTCCACGACCACATCCTTGCCCACCAAGGACTTGAAAAACGAGTAGAAGAGCTAGTGGGCAAAGTGGGGAAATGATTACTTGGAAGAGGACATGGTAGGGAGGAGTGTTCCCCTGCCAACATTTTCAAATACTGCTACGTGCATCCCCCACTACATCTCAGGTAGTTCTCCAAACTTTCCAGCAGCTGGACGAAAGGAGGCTGAGATCTGAGGGTTTCAGTTCGAAGCTAGCCTTGAGCAAAAAAAAAACCTCAGGGACAGTGCCCAGGCTGAGTTCAAACCTCAGACCCAGCGTGTATACATATACACACAAACACACACACACACACACACACCCCAAAATTTCCCAGCAAAGGCTCGGTTAATAAAGATGAGGCTGAGGCGCATAGGAGTCTGCACACCTTACGGAGCTGCTCATTTAAAGCTCCTGAGACACTACCCTGCACCCCTGAGACCCCGGGCCGGATCTCTCCACCATGGTCCTCCCGGGTCCCTCCCCATGCTGGCAGTGAATTGCAGGGGTCCCAGGAGCACCGGCGAAGCCTGGCCTCCCCCAGGGAAACGCTCCTCCGGGGCTGGCTTTCCCATCTCCTGCGGTCCCCACAGACTTTCGGATTTTTTTTTGTTTTTCCCTGTTAGGGGATTCAAAAAACAAAGCCAGCTGCTTCCAGAAGCGTGTTCAAAGAACTCCAGCCCAAAGGGACAAAATCACTCTCCGGGCCCGCCGCTAACAGTCCGAACCGCCCGAGCCCCGACCGGCGCTCCCGCGTGACGTCACCGTACCCACCATGGTGCTGGCGCCGCGCGCTGTGGGCCGGACCGGGAAGAAGAGATCTGAGCGCCACGGGCCGGACACCGGCTGGCAACCCGCGCAGGAGCCCGCGCGTGGGGCGGGGCGGGATTACGCAGGCGCAAAGGGAGAACCACGGAAAACTCCGAGTAATGACGGAGAGCGCGCCAAGATTTGTAGGCCGGGAGAATAGAGCCGAATGGCCGGTGGAGCCCGGGGAAGGGGCGGAGCTTCCTGTCTTCGGACTTCCGGGGGTGGCGGTAAGGACTCGCTGCGCACGCGCGAGCCAGAGCGCCTCTGCTCGGAGGTTTGTATTTTCATTGTGCCTTGCGCAGTGGGATTTGCTAGCAACACCTCACTCGCTCCCTTTCACGTTTGTGAAAAGCTCGTAAGGACTGTACTCTAAAATGTGTTGGGAAAGGTCTGGGAACGTGGCTCAGTGGTAGAGTGCTCGCCTAGCATGCACAAAACCCTGGGTTCGATTCCTCCGCACCACATACACAGAAAAAGCCAGAAGTGGAGCCGTGGCTCAAGTGGTAGAGCCCTAGCTTTGAGCAAAAGAAGCTCAGGGACAGTGCCCAGGCACTGAGTTCAAGCCCCAGGACTAGCAAAAAATAAAATTAAAATGTGTTGGGAAGTCACATACCAATGGCTCACACCTGTAATCGTAACTACTCAGGAGGCTGAGAACTGAGGATTACGATTTGAAGCCAGCCTAGGCAGGAAAGCCGGTGAAACTATCTTCAATTACTGAAAAGCTGGAAGTGGAGCTGGGGCTAAAGTGGAGAGCTCCAGTCATGAGCTGTAAAAGCTCAGTGCCCTAGCCCTGAGTTCAAGCCCCAGTATGGTCGGACACACACGGGAAATTGAGGTAGGGTCCTCCAAATTTTTGTCAGAGGTTCTCAGTATTCTCCCAGCTTCTGTTGTGTTTTTGTTCTGGTTCTAGAAACTGAAGCCAAGGCCTTATCCATGCTAAGCAAATTTGCTAAGCTACACACCCATATCCCCAGCCTACTTTTGTAAAAAGGATGAAAACTAAAATAGTCTGTGCATCAGGGATAGCAATAACCCATCCTAATATTTCACTTCCAAATCTTACCCCTTTTCAGAAAGCTGAAAAATATGCAGTTGCATTCACTTCCAAACTCATGTTCCTCAGTCTTTGAAAAATAGGTGAAATTGTAACAGATATTTAAAAACTGCTTTTGCTGGGAGCTGGAGATGTAGCTTAGTGGTAGAACATTTGCAAATATATAGAAACAGACCTATGTCACTCATTTCTCATCTTGCCAAAAGTACTCATTTCTCAGGAGTTTGTTTGAATTTGTAGAAAAAAATACTTTCTGCATGTGAACTATATAATAATGGATTAAATACTTTCTGCATGTGAACTATATAATAATGGATTCTTTTTTTTTTTTTTTTGCCAGTCATGGTGCCTGAACTCTGGGCCTGGGCAATGTCCCTCAGCTCTTCAGCTCAAGGCTGGTGCTCTACAGCTTTTTCTGCTTATGTGGTGCTGAGGAATCGAACCCAGGGCCCCATGCATGCAAGGCAAGCACTCTACCACTGAGCCACCTTCCCAGCCCCTATAATAATGGATTCTTGAGTGCATAGACAGTGGATCCACAGTATCTACTCTCAGATCCCATCTATAAAAAACAGGACAAGCAGCACTTGCTCCCATCCCCCAGCTAAACCCAAAGTACTTGGATCAGCCTATAATGTATATTAGCAGTAATCATAGTTAGCAACCATTCCATTTGGACTAAAGATGCCTGAGGAGCAAATATTATTTTGTTTGAAACAACAAGCTCATGAAACTCCAAGTACTTTGCCCTTACCAGTTTAATAATTCCCAGTGAGCTCACAGAGAACACATGCTGTCTATGAATTCTCTGTCTCCTTACTTTCCAAGGTATACTCATAGCCTAAAGATACCAGAAGTAATTTCCTTTGGGAACACATTTACTGAGTGACAAATAACCATCCTCACAGCAAGGAGAAAGTCGGGGTGGCTGGAAATAAATAACAGACATTCAAATTCTTCAAGTGGTTCAAAGAGATGCCTAGTTTTTCTAAAAGTTCATTTCAGAGTCACAGTCACAGATATTGGCATATGAGAAGATGGTATATGAAACTCCTCCATCAAAACTCAAAAGGGATGGTAATTGAAGTTCAGTCAATTGAAGAACCATAACAATGTCTGAAGATGAGGGTATAAATTTCACTTCGAGACACCCTAGCATTCTCCAGTTCCAGACAAGGTTAATCTACTTCTTCAATGGTAGGGCCAGAAGCAGCCCTTCCAGGTGTATACCCTGTCCCACAGGTAGGTCCAGTGCATCCTCCCTGGTAGAGTTTTGTGATGATGGGGTTACACAACTGCTCCAATTCCTTTCTCTTATGATCAAATTCATCTTTCTCAGCTAGTTGATTGGCTTCCAGCCAGGAAAGGACCTCATTGCATTTTTCCAGTATTTTCTTTTTATCAGAATCACTAATCTTTCCCTTCAAACCTTCGTCACTCACAGCACTCTTCATGTTGAAAGCATAGGATTCTAAGGCATTTTTTGCAGCGATTTTGTCCCTTTGGATCTCATCTTCAGCTTTATATTTTTCTGCATCCAGAACCATACGTTCAATCTCCTCCTTGCTCAGGCGGCCCTTGTCATTGGTAATGGTGATCTTGTTAGCCTTCCCGGTGCTCTTGTCCATGGCTGTGACATTGAGAATACCATTGGCATCGATGTCAAACGTCACCTCGATCTGAGGAACTCCCCTGGGTGCAGGAGGTATTCCAGTCAGGTCAAAGCGTCCCAACAGGTTGTTGTCCCTTGTCATCGCTCTCTCGCCCTCATATACCTGGATCAATACCCCAGGCTGGTTGTCTGAGTATGTGGTGAAGATCTGAGTCTGTTTAGTGGGGATGGTGGAGTTGCGCTTGATCAAGATAGTCATCACACCCCCAGCTGTCTCCAATCCCAGGGAGAGGGGAGCTACGTCCAGCAAAAGCAGATCCTGCACCTTCTCAGACTTGTCACCCATCAAAATAGCTGCCTGGACTGCAGCTCCATAGGCTACTGCTTCATCCGGGTTGATACTCTTGTTGAGATCACGGCCATTAAAATACTCCTGAAGTAGTCTCTGTACCTTCGGGATGCGGGTGGAGCCCCCTACTAAAACAATATCGTGGATTTTAGACTTATCCATCTTGGCATCCCGAAGAGATTTTTCCACAGGCTCCAGGGTACCCCTAAACAAATCTGCACACAACTCTTCAAAACGAGCCCTAGTGATGGATGTGTAGAAGTCAATGCCTTCATAAAGTGAGTCAATTTCCAGGTTGGCCTGGGTGCTGGATGACAGAGTCCTCTTGGCCCTCTCACAGGCAGTGCGCAGCCGCCTCACAGCCCGCTTGTTCTGGCTGATGTCCTTCTTATGCTTCCTCTTAAATTCCTCCACAAAGTGGCTCACAAGTCTGTTATCAAAGTCCTCCCCACCCAAGTGGGTGTCCCCAGCTGTAGCCTTTACCTCAAAAATCCCATCGTCTATAGTCAGGATGGATACATCAAAGGTGCCTCCACCCAGATCAAAGATGAGGACATGTCGCTCCCCCTGTCCACCTTTATCTAAACCATAGGCAATGGCAGCTGCAGTGGGTTCATTGATGATTCTTAGCACATTGAGGCCTGCGATCACACCTGCATCCTTGGTGGCCTGGCGTTGAGAGTCATTGAAATAGGCTGGCACGGTGATCACGGCATTGGTGACAGTGTGGCCCAAAAAAGCCTCTGCAGTCTCTTTCATCTTGGTCAGTACCATTGAAGAGATCTCCTCAGGGTAGAAAGCTTTCTTCTCCCCTTTATAAGACACCATCACTTTGGGCTTCCCTCCTTCATTGATCACTTGAAATGGCCAAAGTTTCATATCTGACTGTACAACAGGATCGTTAAATTTTCTGCCAATCAGACGTTTGGCATCAAAGACAGTATTCTGCGGGTTCATGGCTACCTGGTTCTTAGCCGCATCTCCAATGAGCCGCTCGGTGTCGGTGAAGGCCACGTAGCTGGGGGTGGTGCGGTTGCCCTGGTCGTTGGCGATGATCTCCACCTTGCCATGCTGGAACACCCCCACACAGGAATAGGTGGTACCCAGGTCGATGCCGATGGCTGTACCCTTAGCAGCAGCCATGGTTTTCCTAGGCCTGTAGACAAAAAGTGACATAATTTTGCAGAGGACTTCTTTAATTTTATTTACTAGGTAGCAAATTGTTTTTATTATAAGCTACCTATTGATTATTCTGTTTTTGTAAAAAAAAACACAAGTATAAGAATAATAAACATATCTGGGGGGGAGGGGGGAGGCTGGGAAGGGATGTGAAGGGTAAACAAAAGGAGGAGGCTGCAATGCTTGGTAAGAAATGTACGCATTATCCTGCCCATGTAATTGTAACCCCTCTGTACAGTATCTTCACAAATAAAATTAAAAAAAAATAAAAAAATAAACATATCTAAGACTCACTAGCACTTATAAGAGGGGAAAATGCCCGAAGCGGAGAACCTGTAGATGTGTTCTTTTTTCTGTCTTTCTCTCTCTCTCTTTCTCTTTCTCTCTCTCTTTCCTTTTTTCTTTTTTCTTGTTTTTTTTTGCTGGTACTGGGAATTGAACTCAGGGCTTGTTTGTCTTGTTTGACTTTTGTTTGGCTCTTTAACTCATGGCTACCACTTAAGCCACATCTCCCATCTCCACTTTTGGCTTTTTGCTGGTTAAACAGAGGTAAGAGTCTCACTGCTGGGTCCAGGTGACTCACACAATCCAAGCTACTCAGAAAGTTGAGATCTCTGAACCAAGATTTGAAGCCAGCCTGGTGAGGAAAGACCATGAGACTCCTATCTTCAATTAACCATCAAAAAAGTAGGAAGTGATTCGAGTATGCCTGTAATCTTAGGTACTCAGGAGGCTGAGATCTAAGGATCACAGTTTGAAGCCAGCCTGGGCAGGAAAGTCCATGAGACTTTTATCTCCAATTATCCACCAGAAAACCAAAAGTGAGCTGTGACTCAAAGTAGTAGAGCATTAACCTTGAATAGAAAAGTTCATGAGCAGCACCCAGGCCCTGATTTTAAGCCAAAATACTGACAAAAAAAGTGGGAAGTGGAGCTGTGACTCAAGTGGTAGAGCACTAGCCTTGAACAAAAAAAGCTCAGTGTCAAAACCCTGAATTCAAGTTGTTGTTTTAATGTCTTACAGCTCACAGACTTTTCTGTCTGTGCTGACTTCAAACCATGAGCCTCAGATCTCAGCCTCCTGAGTAGGTAAGATTACAGGTGTGAGCCATTGCAAATGTTTTCTTTTCTTTTCTTTTTTCATGGTGGGGTTTGAACTCTGGGCCTGGGCGCTGTTCCTAAGCTCTACAATTCAAGATGAACACTCTACTACTTGAGCCACAGCACCACTTCAGTTTTCTGGAGGTTAATTGGAGATAAGAGTCTCACAGACTTTCCGGCCTGCACTGGCTTTGAACTATGATCTTCAGATCTCAGCCTCCTGAGTACCTAAGATTACAGGCATGAGCCATTAGCACCTGGTTTTGCATTTGTTTTTATTTATTTATTTATTGCCAGTTGTGGGGCTTGAAGCCTGGGCACTGTCCCTCAGCTCTTCAGCTCAAGGCTGAAGCACCATTTTCGGCTTTTTCTGCTTATGTGGTGCTGAGGAATCAAACCCAAGGCCTCATGCATGCAAGGCAAGCACTCTACCGCTGAGCCACCTTCCCAGCCCCCAAATGTTTTCTTTATACTTAATTTCTGAGCTTCATCTAGAGATCCATATTTTGGCACCTCTTACAGAGAAAGGTTAAAGATTGTTGCATAAGAAGTCATAACAACTTTAACCTCTATCTGATAAATAGCTTAGACATTCTAGTTTGCCAAACTAGAAAAATCACCAAAATAAATACTGTCAAATACCTCCTCCCAGCCAACGTAATAGTCCTTATTCCCTGAAATTACCTTTATAATTGATTTGCTTTTATTGTAGTTTGTGTTTTCCCACAGTGTAAAACCTAAGACACGTATGTAGTTCTCCAGATGTAAGTATAGAAGTTTACTTCAAGATAAACCGCAGTTAGCCAGGTGCCGGTGGCTCACATCTGTAATCCTAGCTACCCAGGAGGCTGAGATCTGAGGATCACGGTTCAAAGCCAGCCAGGGAAAGGAAAGTCTGTGAGACTCTCATCTGCAATAAACCACTAGAAAACCGGAGGTGGCGCTGTGGCTCAAGCGGTAGAGTGCTTGCCTGGAGCTGAAGAGCTGAGGGACAGCGCCCAAGTCCAGAATTCAAGCCCCACGACCGACCCCCCCCCCAAAAAAAAGACAAACCATGGTTGCTATTGTGTTTCCTTTATATTACTGTAATGTCCACTGATGCCATGCAGTTGGACAGGCTAAGTGGCAGCACAAAGCAACTGTGGGATTTTCCATGGCTAGACTTGCTTTCTGTTCAACCAAACGTGGCCCCATAGACAAGAATGAATGTGCTAAATAAATGGTTATCTCAGCCTAATTGATTAGAAGTTGCAGAACTATGTCAAAGGAATTTTTTAGACAGGATCTTGATATGTTATCCAGGCTGGGTTGTTGGGTTCTAACTGGGGGTCCTCTTGCTTCAGCCTGTCAAGTGGCTAGCATTACAGCATGTCTTACCCCCTTTCTCCAACAGAATCCCTTTCTTCACCATTAATTAAAAAGAATTTTGCTTTTGAGACAAATCTATGGATTTGATTACTCATAAAAGTGGAATTTTATGTGTGCTTTTGTGGTCTGGCTTATTTTACTTTGAATAAATGTCCTCAATTTTCATTCATGTAGCCATACTATAACATATATTGGAATATCCATTCCCTTTGTGTGTGTGTGTATGTGTGTGTGCGCGCGCACGCACCTGCGTGCGTGCACATGTGTGCACGCACACACACATGTGCTAATATTGTGACTTGAAGTAAGGGGCCTCACACTCTCATTGTTCATACTTGGCACTCTACCACTTGAGCCATGCCTCTAGTCCAATATTTTGCTGGTCAGTTGAAGATGAAGCCCTGAGGATTTTTTCTGCCCAGGCTGGCTTTGAATTGTGCAAGATTTGTTTATGAGTAGTTAGGATTCCAGGCATGAGCCACTAACCAGGCTGGAACTTCAGTGCTAAGGCTGCATAATGTTCAGACCATCTTTTTGGGGTTTGGGTTTTTTTGTTGTTGTTGGTGGTGGTGGTAGTGGTGATGGTCCTGGGACTTGAACTTGGGGCCTGGAAACTGTCCCTGAGCTTTTTTGCTCATGGCTAGCACTCTATCATTTTGAGTCACAGATCCACTTGATTTTCTTGTGGTTAGAGATAAAAGTCTCACGGATTTTCCTGCCCCAGCTGGTTCCAACAGTGATCCTCAGTTCTCAGCCTCCTAGGTAGCTAAGACTACAGGCCTGAGCCACCAACACTGGGTTTTTGTGTATATGTGTGTCTGTGCTTGTGTGTGTGTGTGTGTGTGTGTGTGTGTGTGTGTGAGGGGGGGGTGGTCATAGGGCTTGAACTCAAGGCCTGCGCACTGTCCTTGAACTTTTTTACTCAAAGCTGGTGCTTTACCACTTGAACCAAGCTCTCCATCAGGCTCTTTGGTGGTTAATTAGAGATGAAGGTTGTATGGACTTCCTACCAGGAATGGCTTCAAACCAGGCTTCAAACCACTACCGTATAGTTTTTTATTATAAATTCATCTCTGCATGGACATTCAGATTGTGTCCATCTTTCAGGTATTGGAAATGAAACCAATAATGTGGGTGTACAAATACAGTGAGATTTTTCTTTTATGGCAAAGTGATTGTTACACTGCATTGACACCAGTACTCTCAGCTACTCAAAGGAGATAGAAGGAAACTTGGTATATATTCTCAATTTCTTTCTTTTTTTTTTTTGGTTGGTCTTGGGGCTTGAACTGTGGGCTTGGGCACTGTCCCTGAGCTTCTTTTGCTCAAGGCTAGCACTGTACCACTCGAGCCACAGCCCCACTTCCAGCTTTTCTGTGATTTATTTGGAGATAAGAATCTCACAGACTTTCCTGCCAGGGCTGTCTTTGAACTATGATCCTCAGATCTCAGCCTCCTGAGTAGCTGGAATTACAGGTGTGAGCCACCAGTGCTGGGTTAACTGTCCTGTTTCTGTGTCTGTATTTTATCTTTTGTGGTATCATACTTGTCTCCTGCTAAGATTAGTTTGTGTTATGGACCACATTAACTTCCACTTGTGTTTTTCTGCCTTCCTTCCTTGCTCTCCTTGTATGAATCCATAGGATATAATTCAATCCACTCTGAAGATGATTGCTAGCAACCCAATTAAACACAAGATTTCTTTTCCTTTTAAATTTATTTATTTATTTATTCATTTATGCTGTGCAAGCATTTGAAAACAGTTGCCCATGGCTCATTATAATCCTAACTACACATGAGGCTGAGTTCTGAGGATTGGACCCAGCCTGGGAAACAAGTCAGGGAAATGCTTATCTCCAATTAACTATTAAAAAGGTAGAACAGGAGGTAGGTCAAGTAGTAGACAAACAAGGATCTGAGTTCAAGCCTAGGTCTGGCACAGAGAAAGAGGGGGGGGAGGGAAGAAGGAAGGAAGGAAGGTAGGAAGGAGGGAGGGAGGGAGGGAAAGGAAGAGAAAAAGACAAAGCCAGGCAAGTGGCTTGCTCCTGTAATCACAGCTACTCAGGAGGCTGAGATCTGAGGATCACAGTTCAAAGCCAGCCTGGGAAGGCAAGTCTGTGAAACTCATCTCCAATAAACTACAAACAAAAACAAAAACAAACAAAAAACCCACCAGAAGTAGTGCTGTTGCAGTAGAGGGTTTGCCTTGAGCAAAAGAAGATCAGAGAGAGCTCCCATAAAGGGAAGACAAGATCTCTTTAAGAAGGTTAATTTGGGGGCTGGGAAGGTGGCTCAGTGGTAGAGCGCTTGCCTTGCATGCCTGAGGCCCTGGGTTCCATTCCTCAGCACCACATAAGCAAAAAACAAAGAAAAAGAAAAAAGCCAGAAGTGGCGCTGTGGTGCAAGTGGTAAAGCACTAGCCTTGAGCTGAAGAGCTGAGGGACAGCGCCCAGGCCCAGAGTTCAAGCCCCACAACCGGACCCAAAAAAAAAAAAAAAGAAGAAG